CTCCATGTTTTATCCATGTCCTAATGTGGACATTTTAAAAAATCATACAGCTCCATGGTCAAAGAGCTGCACGTCCGTGGTTTGTCCGTGCTAGCTGTGGTGCATGTGATTTCAATCCCGGGCCAGAAGGTTTCTGTCCAGACGCCATAACAGCAGTCTCTTCAACAGGGATGACAGCAAACAGTTGTGTAAAGCAGCAAAGCCAACCATCATCTCACCTGTGCTGGTCTATTCATCTGCTCCTCAGCTCCTATTCTCACAACTCCCTCACACGCCATGGCTTTCACAGCAAAGAACAGGATTTTCTCCTTGAAATAGAAAATAAATCATTTTTCATACTGAGACAAAATTAGCAGCCTTTATTAACAAACTCATCATATCTGCATACAGCAAAGCATTCCTTCCATTGACGCATGTGCACATTAAGCCATGGACCATGGAGGTCACAGCATAAGGGGAACATACTCACAGGGCCATGTATGAGCAGGGTGTGCCATGTGTTACTGCCTGCATTTAAATTGAACACATGCCTTGCACTATCATTTCATTGAGTTCTGATTGGTGTGCTGCTCAGGGTATTAACGAAATTAGATAGCTTTCCTCAGAGACATTTAGAAGGAGAGGCTCACATCCTGCTCTCCACAGTCACTGAACTAAAGACCAGTGTCCTAAATTCAGTGTGGGTGAAGGTCTGGATGAAGGAAGTCTTCCTGCTTTATATGGTTTCGGATAATTTTAGTGGTATCACAAGGGGAAGAGGACAACTAGAAGCACAGGAATAAATTATAGTAATGTCAGTAAAAGGCCCTGCCTAATCTTAATGCCATTTCAGTGGTTAATGTAGTGGCATTTAGGTTTTTGCAGGCCTAACTTGTTTGAGAAATTCTGGGGAGTTTTAGTAGGCTTATTTTCATATAGGTATTAGAGCATGAGTGGGTCTAAAACTGGAAATACCGTATGTCTTGTTCAGATATTTACAATGTCCATTTCTGGTTTTGTAGAATTGCTAGTACTAATACTCTGCAAAAGTATAAAGGGAAATTACAATCAGCAGTCAATGCTATTTCTTTGTTTCCCCTAGAGATTCCTTTGATGGAAGAAGACCCTTAGCCTGCACAGAGTCGTGTCTTCATCGCATTGCACTGTTGGGTGACATGAATTATGAGGATTTAGAGATAGAAAAGACTATTTATGGATTTGGGGAGGGTATTTTCCTACTTACCAATCTTTCCCACGATGATGTCACCAGATTGGGTGTACGTCTTTATCCACCAAGGGGATAACATCAGCAGCATTTGGAACAGCAGCAGTTTTATGAATGAATCCTGGGGATTTGATGAGAGCAGATGTAGAAAAAGGAACTGTGGCTTTTTTAGAAATGAAATGTATATCTGCATCGCAGAAAGTCATATGGTTCTGTAAGAAATGCTATTGGATTTTGATACTAACTGCCTCACAAAAGCATGTCAAAATATGTAAATTTGCTTATAAAGACTGCTGTAAATGGTCTATGGACCTCTAGTTTATGAAGAATCCTTTCAAGTGCTGAAACACACACACAAAAAAAAGAGGAAAGATCCTCTTTCGATTTCCTATGATAACCAGGAAGCTTTTGATGTAGTTGTTGGTGATTTTGGTTCAGACCATGTCTGCAGAAATTATAACAGAAGTGATGGGATTCGTATATACTTGATGTATGATAGCAAATATATATAAATATAT